ACCCACGGGGCCGATTAAGCCACGAAGGATCCCCATCCGGCCGAGACCAGCGCCGGATATTCCCAGCTCGCTGTCTCGGCAGGGCGGGGAGTATCGCTGAGGACAGTCATCCTGGTTCCTCACTTTTCCCCCATCCCTCCCCTCTGGGACGCGTTACAGGAGCACAGAGGCACGTACCTCCAGAGGTGGAGACACATTACTGAGCTCTAGCCCCACCACTGGCTCACGGTGATGTTTTTTACGCTGTTATTGAACTTGGCGGCGGCGCTGCTGCTGTTCTGTCCTCTGTCCTCTGTCTTTGGAGTGGAGCGCACATGCAAGTCACCCTTGTGCACAGGACCCATCAGCTCACCGAACGAGACGCTCACGCAAACCAGGCTGAAGACCGAGAAGACGGCGCACGGGCGCCCCCCGCCGGCCCCGGAGCCGCACTGCGTCTCTCTCCTAACGGGGACAGCCGGGCCATTTCAAGCGGCTGTTTTCGCAGGCGCTGTCAATCATATCGGCTCGTTTCTCAGAGGGCTCTACAGCGGTTAAATGAGTTGGGAAAAAAAAAACCTTTACAGGCGGTTTTTCGGACCGCCAGGAGTCGCTGGGAGAAAGGAGATCGGTGTTAAGACCGCTAGTGAAATACCTGCTCGACGGGCGCTCTAAGTGGACAGACCCCGTTTTCTGCACTTCCAACACAAAAACCCACACGACAGGGGGAGACGAGCCGCCGAAGCCTTTATTAACCTGTACAGCACAGTGAGCACAGAAAACGCACTTCTCTTCCCCTGCAGGGAGTGTACAGTATACAAAGGAAAGAAAATAGAGATTCATATAAAACTCAAGCCGATAAATCCTTAAAACTCCAAAATAACTCAATAAAAACTTACCTTTCTGTATTACAAAATAAAACGTCACACAAACGTCCACAACCATCACAACGAGTAGAGTAATAATGTACAATATTTTTCTGTTTATACAGCTATTGCGAACCGAGACGCTGTACAGGAGTGGTTTAGAAAGTTCAGTTCTGTGCACCTCTGGAGCTCCTGGGGTCCGTGAGACAGTCCTGGGGCGTTGCAGAGAGAGAGAGCCCGGCTGGGGGTCAGGGCCTGGAGAGCCCCAGTCCATTAGGGGTCGGGGGGGGTCACCCCTTCGTTTCTTTCTGAACACAGAAGCGGGCGATGAGCTCCGAGGGGCAGTTTCTGGGGATCATCTAGACCGAAAGACCCCGACGCCTCACCCCCTTCAAGGGCGCAGACTGGACCCCCCGACCCGGTTCAAACGGCCTATCCCGCGAACCCGGCCGGAACGCCCCTCGTTTTCCGGGGCTTTTCCCAAACGCAGGATGGCGGGGTGACCCGGCCGACCTGGACCGGGGCTCTGCAGGGCCCGGGCGGCCCAATTCAACCCCCAACGTCACACCGACGAGACAGGACAGGAGAGGGGGGGGGGGATGGTAGGCTTTGAGCCCAGCACGGCCTCCAGTGTGCCTCCAACACCCCGGTTGACCGTGACCCCACTGTGGGTTCCCTGACGGGGCCGCCTCAGGAAACACCGCAGAGGTGTGGGCGAGCGAGAGAGGACAGGCTCCCCCACAGGCCTTCATCTCCCCGCGCGCCCAAGACAGCCGAGGAATCGGGCTGACGACTCCTACACGCCTCCCAGCCAGAACCCGGGCTCGGACTGCCATCTCCACAGCGAGCAGAACCCCCCCCCCACCGAGGGGCCTGGTTCTGGTTCTGGGAGAGCCCCAGTTGTGCCGTGAGGATCAGCGCCGCGCCAGCGTCCGGTCCCGACAGCCCTTAACGAGCTGGCCATGACTGCAGGCTCCTCATTCAGGGTCTGGGCGCCTCGGAGCGAGGAGCCGACGGGCAGGAGGGGTGCGAGGGTGCGAGGGTCCCCCGACTCTGAAATGATGCAGAGAAACCAACGCCGAGCACATGCGAAGATCCCGAGAAAGCACGTCTTCAGGAACACGAGACGACCGCTGCTCTCGGGTAAGGACCTGCTCTTTTAACCCCACCTTAGGAAAAGCACAACTCAGCAGGACGTGAGGGGTCGGGCGTCTCCCGCCTAGGAGGCAGCAGGAGAAATTTCACTCACACACACACACTGAGCCTCCTGAGAGAGGAGCCAGCGTACAGCTCGAGAAGACCTGGGTATTTACACAGCCCCACACACACACGGGGGCGATCCCCTGGAGAAGACGAGGCTCTGTACACACGGGGGCTCTCTCTCTCCGTGGGGTGCGAAGACACAGGGCCAGAGGCCGAGAGGGTATTTACAAGTTCCTGCAGCGCCGTCATCACGGCGAAAAACAACAAAATCAGTCTCTTCTCTTTCTCTCCTTGTTCCCTCCATCTTCCTCCCAGAGTCTGTCCAGGCGCGTGGTTCCCCCCCCGTGGTCCGTTCATTTATTCATTTATTTATTTATTTCACCCACTGAAAATAAATCAATAAATCAATAAACCTTTACAGATCCTCCATGTCCGCGTCCGCGTCCGCGTCCAGCAGGAGGCTTCAACAGAGCAGAGAGACAGGGTCAGAGGGGTCAGTGGGGTCAGAGGGGCGCAGAGCT